GAATACCTGCTCGATAAAAGGTAACTTTTCTATAAATCTTGTCGTTCCAACACATATATAAATGCGTCAGAACCCTGGTATCATCGACAAAACTTTTATTATACGGAGTTTTAGTGGCGCCATCTATCCTAGGTCCACAAAACCGCGAATAGCCGCCAGAAGCCGGAGGGGGAGGGGGACAGCGCCGGACGGGCAAGGACGAGTATGGCCGGACCCGGATGAGACTTTCCTCCTTTCACCGTATATTTCGCGGGGCGCCCGCCAGCACCTGGTCACGCGGTCGCAAGCGGATGAGTTCTCACTGCTCGCTGATGGCTCTAAAAAGAGAACTTTTCCGGAACCCCGCGCCTTCTCAAGTGACGTCACTGCGCACGTGACCCGGAAGACGATGTACGAGTTGAGAGGCGGCAAAAACCTGGATCTTTTTCATTTTTTTAAATAAAAACTAGGATATCCAGGCAAAATCTGTTTTCTGTAGTTCACTACAGAAGTGTCAGGCATCAACTTCCACAATTATTTAAGCAAAGCCCTGAAATTGTTGCACAGCTCCTTTAAGGAAAGCACAGAAATTGTTGATCAACTCCTTTAAACTCTTAGTGGCCATAGTGATTAGCACCGACCATTATATAATGGTTTAGCACACGTGTGAGAGGAAGATCAGGGGGCGAAATAGTCTGTCAAACGACAAGCTATTTCACCCGAATTCGCCGTTGTCTAAGCACCAGAGCAAGAGAGCGAGCGCTTGCGACTGCTCGACCGTAGTTATGGTATGATGGGCAGAGTTACCAGCCCTATTCTAAAACTCGCTAAAGGGGTATCCGCACGAAGGAGAACTCCGCGGACGGATGTCATGACGTCAACAACCCGGGAAACTCCGTCCCCGGCTCCGCCGCGTGCACCGGCGGAGCTTTCGTGCTGACAGCACGAAGCCTCCGCGCCTCGGCCGCGGAGGAGAACGGCGGCGCGAGGCCAGCGAGGCGTCAGAAAGGGATGACGTATGTCTCACGTGATGCGCGCTCCGCGGAGGAAAAGTGCGGATTTCTCCTTCGTGTGGATACCCCTTAAAGGGGCACTCAAGTGGATTCTGAGATCGTCTATTTATGATCATAACTCAATCTGCGGGCTCTAAGCATCCTAGAAATCCCAAAATTACATTCAAGGGCGGCCGATTTCCCTATTAAAAATCCAATCAAAGATCGCTGTTCTGCGCCTAGGCGCACGCCGTCAGGGGCGCTGTCGGACGGGAAGGCAGCAGGGAAGGGCGTGCGCCATCCAATCACGAGTGACGGCTTCCCGGCGGATTGATCCTTCGAACCGGCGGAGTGATCTTCCGAATATGCGCGTATTTGATGGATTCTCGTTGGGACTCATTTCGGGTCTTGCGTCGTGCGGAGATGGACCTGCCAAATCTAACACCGTTGGAGGTGGAAATTCTTCGGCGGACGGCAGATATCAGCTCAATCTCCTACGATGCCACTCCTACGCGCGACGCCGATGCCTCGAACGCGACGGACTCGGACGACAGTTCGCGATGCTCAATGTCGACACCGGAGGAAGACGACGAAACCGACGACGCAACCCAGCGGCTTGGGAACACCAACTGGTAGGTGATGAGCTGTTTATTATACCTCTCATATGTATAGCTGATGCCGGTTTTCTGTTTTAAGGTGCCAATGCAGTTGCTGCGTGCCGATGGAAACCGTCGCAGAGTGTGTCTGCTGCCGTGACTACCCGGCCGCCGTTCGCAAGCAGCAGGGCCGGCAGAGCTGCGTGACAAGCCACCCGGATTTCGAGGGGCTGTGCCTCGATCCGGGTGTGCTACAGCTGGCCTTGTTGAACATGCGCCACTATGGTGAAAGAAACATGGGAGCAACCTCGAACGAGTGAGTAGAACTTCGTGTTACCGGTCGCGAAACTTGCTGTTCTGCCTCGGCTCCCGTTTTTCTTGCGTACGCATTGAAGCGGCGTGATAGCTTTGAATAGAAATCATCATTAGCGTTCAACTGCTTTTGAATGTTTTTCGCTTTGCGTGTCTGCTTTTTTCTTGTTTGCCGTGCGTTTTTGGTTCCATGCCCATGCCTCCCAAGCCGCGGGCCAAGGATAAGGACGGGTAGCTTTATGACAGCGTCTATTCTCTCGGCAGCTGGGAGAATAATTTTTCGAAATTCTACCGACGATCGCCTCCCATTGATTGTCTGAAATCATACAACTGCCGGTAGAATGCTGATTTTCTTGTTCTTCCAACATCTCATGGAAACACGTTTCATGGACAACTTTTCCTGGACACGTATTGTCGACGCTGACGTTTCATCGACACTCGTTACGCGAATTGCACGCTGTAGGGACACTTCATCGTGCGTGTATCCCTCGGGCCAGTGTTAAACCCCCCCTCTTCGCCTCCGCTTTCCCTTGGCGACAGTCAATGGTCCAATGGGAGTCAACTGCCGGTTGAATTTCGGGGAAATTATTCTTCTGGCTGCCGCGAGAATAGATGTTACGTGGCTTTATAGACTGACATGGAGTCAGAGTTGGACTACTGTCTCTCGTCGGTTCTTGAGGCTGCTCAAGTAGTCAGACATTGCAAGGAAAACGTAGTCAACTATTCAAACGCAAAAAAATACAAGGGGAGTCACACAGACGCCGGCAACATCGCATTTCAATGGTTTGTTTATGGGCAAAGGCGAGCTTCTTGCCCACACTCCATTGCGCATGCGCGGCGCCGGTGGCGTCTGCTAGGGGCACTCCAGTTTGTTTATAAACATGAGTTGGTGTATAGTTAGTTGTGCCGATCATTTGTTTGTTTGCAAATATATCACATGCACAGCGAAAGGAAACATAAAAGAGAACCATAATATATGATGGTTTTTCCGGGGAAACAATCACAAGAGAGGTGTAGATTTCAGAGTAGCGAACATTGCTTATTACATCTGATTAGTCTGGTCATTGCCTCAGGTGTATGGCTGGTGGGTGTTCCTTACATTCAATAAATGTGGACATTGTTTCAGGCGCTTCCGGTTCGCTGCCTATAGGCAGTGTGTGCTTTGGCTGTGGCGGAGACTTGGACAGAAGAACAGGCGACCACTGCCCTCCTGCATGGTCAAGGCGATTAGAGGTCACTTTGCCAGCGACACCTACTCCGGGTTTCGGTACCCCTCCCTTTAAAAAAATAAAAGCGCTAAACAATGCATTGCCCAGCAGTCATTCTTCGCCCAAATGTAATGTTAGGCGTTAGAGCCAGATGACAACTTATTTTTGTCCAGTTCAATGTCATTATCGATTTTCATGTTTCAGCGAGAACATTGGCAGTTTTCATTGGCTGCCATCTTCTTGGCGCCTTTGAGCACTTACTGCTATACTCCGTGTCACCTAACAACCGACTGCCGTGGATGCTACGAGCCATTGAGGCGAATCCAAGGCACTTTGAGGGTTTCCCATAATCTTTGAGAAAAAGCACGTTTTTTCAAGATAATTTTTTTTACCGACTTGACGGATTTTGTGAATAACACATTATTTTTGGAACAACGCCACTAGATACAGACGAAGGGAAAGACTGGAGAACACGAGCATGGACAGATTGTTTTCATGTAAAGCCTAGCCAAGTGCTGTGTTCTCGGAGCCAAATTGGCTAGGAAGACTCGAACACTAATTAGTAATTCTTGCTCTTATTCCTGCAATGCACATACAAGTTACCCAGTAAAAAGGCATCTTTACTTGACATTCTTTTCAGCTAAAATTGGATCTTTTGCTAACACACAAAGGGGAGAGGTGGGGATGTAGCCAAGTGCTGAGTGTGCATGTGTTGGCGTTTGCAACTGTTGCAGATGCCACTGTGTGTAACTGCACTTTCAGCATGCTCCTTGGAGCTTGGATAATTATGCAAAAGGTCGTGATAAAACAAGCCACAGCATCAATTAGCAAGGTGTGTCAATATAATAGGTTGCTTTGTGAACAAGTCAATGATTGAAAGGAGACAGTGTTGCAGATGGGTGGGGGGGGGGGGGGGGGAAACCGTGGTGTAGACTGGAAACTGTTTTTCCCTTTCCAAGTATGAATGGTGTTGAGGTTAGGTGTCCTTGTGCTGTCATGCACAGTTGCCCAAATTTAATTTTTACAGTTCCAGTCTACCTCCTGGATGAAAACCCCATTTATTAGAAACTAACGGGAGAGCTGCTTTGCCAAGGCGCAGCCTCTTCAGGATGTCAGCGTGGCAGCACATGAAAAGAAAAGTCAATACTGTATTACGTTTGGGGGACATGGAAAAATGTGATGACAGTGAGTGTTTCTAAACCCTTTTTGGTGCATTAGAATACAACGGTCAGACCAATTAACGGCGACAAAAAGATAGCACAAAGAACGCGCAACAATGAAGCAGCCAAGCCCATGCTGCCATTGGGAGAGTACAAAAGCCTATGGTCGCATGCAGGAAGTGATCAAACGTAGCAAAGAGCAGACGAATTTGTGAGCCATACTGCTTATAGTGCTTGGGGTTTCAGTACCGCAATTAGGAAAACATTGACAGCATACTAAGCTTGTGAATTTAGACTAGGATCCCTTGTAAAGAGCTGCATAAAATTGCAAGAGTTTACTGGTCACTACTTTCTTTGTGTTATTGATGAAACAATGCAGTAATTAGTGCCATGTAGGGCAAAATTATCAGGGTCACGATGATCTGCACTGTTTTAACCTATTTGCAAATAGTACATAATAAAGAAAAAGCTGCAGCACTGGCTTTTTCTGTTATGGTTCACGGTATCAAAGTTCCCCTGGCAGGTTTGGCACATCTGACTACATGGCAGCTCCCAGAACTTGAGCCTTCGTGTTGCTTTATCGGCTGGTCGATGATCCTGGAATCGAAACTTCATTATCACAATGGATTTCATCATCTTTGACAAGTTACTGCAGTTACAACTGCCGTTCTCATTACTGCAGGTCGGGCTCTCGTAACAGGATAAGGAGCGGGTCTGCAAGATCCCCCCTTCCGTGCGTGTTCGCTTGTCCGAGGCAGGTGTCCTGCGAAACGAAACGTGTTATCTCAGCCTGGAACTTGGCTTCACCTGGCAGGTGAAGGGGCCTTGGAAACTTACCATCGAGTGCACGGGTGACAGGAGGGATTTGAGGAGGTCCCTCACGGGGTAACCTGGCCGAACCGGGACCTCTTTTCCTCCACGAGTTCCCTTTTGGAAGGCCTTGTAAAGGCGGCATTCATGGGTGCCGGAAAGATGCGCTTCTTGGCTATTGCTGCCTCATCGAGGGACGTGCACTGCTCGTTGCTGGCCATCGCCTCCTGGACTAGCTTTCCAACGTACTCTGAAATTGAAGCATATGCATGATAACATTCCAAACCGCACGGAGCAAAGCTTCAGCCTGGATTTGGAGCCACACTAACCATACGTTGGATCCGTTCTTTTTTCTCGTGCTGTGGCATGTCCCTTCCGTGCCTTCGATGTGTTAACCATGCCCCCTAACGCCCGCTTGGCCGAGGCAGGTGTCCTGCAAAAGGAAACGTGTTGTCTCAGCCTGGAACTTGGCTTCACCTGGCAGGTGAAGGGGCCTTGGAAACTTACCATCGAGTGCACGGGTGACAGGAGGGATTTGAGGAGGTCCCTCACGGGTAACCTGGCCGAACCGGGACCTCTTTTTCTCCACGAGTTCCCTTTTGGAAGGCCTTGTAAAGGCGGCATTCATGGGTGCCGGAAAGATGCGCTTCTTGGCTATTGCTGCCTCATCGAGGGACGTGCACTGCTCGCTGCTGGCCATCGCCTCCTGGACTAGCTTTCCAACGTACTCTGAAATTGAAGCATATGCATGATAACATTCCAAACCGCACGGAGCAAAGCTTCAGCCTGGATTTGGAGCCACACTTACCATACGTTGGATCCGTTCTCTTTTCTCGTGCTGTGGCATGTCCCTTCCGTGCCTTCGATGTGTTAACCATGCCCCCTAACGCCCGCTTGGCCGAGGCAGGTGTCCTGCAAAAGGAAACGTGTTGTCTCAGCCTGGAACTTGGCTTCACCTGGCAGGTGAAGGGGCCTTGGAAACTTACCATCGAGTGCACGGGTGACAGGAGGGATTTGAGGAGGTCCCTCACGGGGTAACCTGGCCGAACCGGGACCTCTTTTCCTCCACGAGTTCCCTTTTGGAAGGCCTTGTAAAGGCGGCATTCATGGGTGCCGGAAAGATGCGCTTCTTGGCTATTGCTGCCTCATCGAGGGACGTGCACTGCTCGTTGCTGGCCATCGCCTCCTGGACTAGCTTTCCAACGTACTCTGAAATTGAAGCATATGCATGATAACATTCCAAACCGCACGGAGCAAAGCTTCAGCCTGGATTTGGAGCCACACTTACCATACGTTGGATCCGTTCTCTTTTCTCGTGCTGTGGCATGTCCCTTCCGTGCCTTCGATGTGTTAACCATGCCCCCTAACGCCCGCTTGGCCGAGGCAGGTGTCCTGCAAAAGGAAACGTGTTGTCTCAGCCTGGAACTTGGCTTCACCTGGCAGGTGAAGGGGCCTTGGAAACTTGCCATCGAGTGCACGGGTGACAGGAGGGATTTGAGGAGGTCCCTCACGGGTAACCTGGCCGAACCGGGACCTCTTTTTCTCCACGAGTTCCCTTTTGGAAGGCCTTGTAAAGGCGGCATTCATGGGTGCCGGAAAGATGCGCTTCTTGGCTATTGCTGCCTCATCGAGGGACGTGCACTGCTCGCTGCTGGCCATCGCCTCCTGGACTAGCTTTCCAACGTACTCTGAAATTGAAGCATATGCATGATAACATTCCGAACCGCTCGGAGCAAAGCTTCAGCCTGGATTTGGAGCCACACTTACCATACGTTGGATCCGTTCTCTTTTCTCGTGCTGTGGCATGTCCCTTCCGTGCCTTCGATGTGTTAACCATGCCCCCTAACGCCCGCTTGGCCGAGGCAGGTGTCCTGCAAAAGGAAACGTGTTGTCTCAGCCTGGAACTTGGCTTCACCTGGCAGGTGAAGGGGCCTTGGAAACTTACCATCGAGTGCACGGGTGACAGGAGGGATTTGAGGAGGTCCCTCACGGGGTAACTTGGCCGAACCGGGACCTCCTTGCCTCCACGAGTTCCCTTTTGGAAGGCCTCGTGAAGGCGGCATTCATGGGTGCCGGAAAGATGCGTTTTTTGGCTATTGCTGCCTCATCAAGGGACGTGCACTGCTCATTGCTGGCCATCACCTCCCGGACTAGCTTTCCAACGTACTCTGAAATTGAAGCATATGCATGATAACATTCCAAACCGCACGGAGCAAAGCTTCAGCCTGGATTTGGAGCCACACTTACCATACGTTGGATCCGTTCTCTTTTCTCGTGCTGTGGCATGTCCCTTCCGTGCCTTCGATGTGTTAACCATGCCCCCTAACGCCCGCTTGGCCGAGGCAGGTGTCCTGCAAAAGGAAACGTGTTGTCTCAGCCTGGAACTTGGCTTCACCTGGCAGGTGAAGGGGCCTTGGAAACTTACCATTGAGTGCACGGGTGACAGGAGGGATTTGAGGAGGTCCCTCACGGGGTAACTTGGCCGAACCGGGACCTCCTTGCCTCCACGAGTTCCCTTTTGGAAGGCCTCGTGAAGGCGGCATTCATGGGTGCCGGAAAGATGCGTTTTTTGGCTATTGCTGCCTCATCAAGGGACGTGCACTGCTCATTGCTGGCCATCACCTCCCGGACTAGCTTTCCAACGTACTCTGAAATTGAAGCATATGCATGATAACATTCCAATATGCAGTTAGCAAAGCTTCTGCCTGGATTAGGAGCCACACTTACCATAAGTTGGATCCGTTTTCTTTTCACGTGCTGTGGCGTGTCCCTTCCGTGCCTTTGATGTGGTCACCGTGAAACGTGGATCGCCCTGTTGCGTCACAGCTTGGCAGCGGTCCGAGTTTTCGTTGTAATGCAAGATTGCAAGTCGTGTCCTGCAGGATGGTGATATTTCAGTGAAGATGAAATGTGCCACCAAGAAGCACTGTACATTTTGGCCTATAAGCAGCCCACCCCGCATCATTGAATGGTTTTACAAAAATGTTTGTATATAAATCGCAGCCTGGTAGAAGTCCCCCCTTAGATTTTTGTACTTGCGCCAAAACTGCATTGATAAGCCTGAACATACACATTATGATAGAGATATATGTGCAAGCGGCAGTCAGTTGCAGTACTCCTTATAACAAATTGAAAAGGACACATAACCCCTGTGCTGAATATTTTTTCTTGGAAAAAGAAACATGCATATAGGCCGCAATGTTGTAAAACCAAAGGATTTTGAAAAGGACCAATCTCGAAAAGTTTTGCCATTGTGCAAAACAATGGCAAACCAACTCTTTGGTAATTCGGATGCTGTTATGTTTTGTAAATTAGGACCTTATCAACTTCTTGGTAATTCAGATGCTGTAATGTTTTGTAAATTTAGACCCCGTTAATATGGGTACCAGAGTTTTCCGAGAAATATTTGAGATGTGGTCAACTGACAATTTTTCTGGGAGGGGGGGTGGGGGCATGTTTGATTTGTGTAATAACCTTTGGTCCTTTTTCACCAATGCAGCAATTTTTTTGTTGATTTTTTTGTTTTTTTGCTGAGATTTGTATTTATGCCTTGTGCAATGGCCACCTCACAAATATGACGATGGGGGGTATTGTGTATTTGATTAATCGGTGACATCTCGTCCAGCGTTGGTAAAATATTGAGGTGTATGATACATCATAGAGAAGGGCGGTCTGCTCGACGGGCGGGCAGCGTAACCACTGCTACCCACTGTAAGGAGAACCCTGATTGGATACCCTACTATATAGACAGTATTTTCTGGTATGAATTGGGCAATTACTTGCATTTGTCATTATTATGGAAAACTCTCACCATGAACGATTTTTGGGGGGTATGGGCATGCGAATATCAACGAGACATCACTGCACCTGACTTCCAGACAAAATGTATTTCTGTAATTACCTTGCAAGCATGCCAGCCGGAGAAAATGCCTGGGACTTTGGGGCGAAATTTATGAGGACGCTGTGGAACGCCTCAAGGGCGTACGTCTGGCCATGGGGAGACATCTGGCCGACGTCCTTCAGGAGCCACTTGTCCCCAGTGATTTTTTTTAGGTGGTCATAGGCCTGGGAGTCTGCAGATAGGACATGGTTTAGAATGAGCACCCTCAGTTGGGAGAACAAAAACCTACTAGGATCCATCCACTTTCTTGTGCTGTCTTGTATCTCGTTGTGCAGACACCTGGGATAGCTCCCGCCATGGCCCGTGTGTTCGTTGATGGCATGGTTCTGGAGACTGAGCCACACGTCGACGGTCAGTTTCCTGTCGCCCGCCCCAGCCTTGGCCGAATAGTAGAGGTGGTTGGTGGTCGCCTGCACCCACATTTGAAGTTCTTGGCAGCCGGCTCGTTTGCTTGCTGCCGCCATCTTTTTCTTCACACCTAAAAATTAAAAAGCAATTTAATGAAATCCTGCAGCAGCTTCACTAGAAAATGTCACCTACATAAATAGGCTTTGACAATTGCTTACTTTTGGAGATGTGCCAAATGTCGAAGTAGTGGGCGATTCCGGGCTCCTGGGTCTCCATGTGCTTCCGTATGGCAGGGTGGCGATCAGTCCCCAAGGATCGGATGTGGATACCTGTGCCATTGAATTTCGTAGTACAAAATAATTGTTGAGTATACAATGTAGAACAGTATGGAATCACTATGAATGTCGAAGAAAATATGAACATACATTTCTCCTTCAAAAATTCCAGCTGCTTGATGAGGCCTTCCTTTTCCATGTTGACACTGGCCATTGCTCGCTCTGACTAAGAACAGAAGTGAGACACAAATCATTTGAATTGCGCATGACAGTGAAGTCACCAAATTATACTAAATTATAAAAGTGTACATAAAGAATCATAAAACCGTTGTGATTGTTTTACTACATGAACACTCACCTCTCCTAGCTGGACCTGCACAGAGTGGAGAATCTTGTTGATCTGTTGGACGTGAGCCGAGTATGTGAGGTACTTTGCAGAAAACCCAGGAGAATCGAACCGTCCATCGGCAGTAATGTCAACTTCTTGACTGTCCAGCTGACTGATCAGCTCTTCTTGTTCTTGTAGCCATATCTATTCATGGAAATTAATGTTGCATGAGAAATTGTAAAAATGCGCTGACATAATTTATTATTTCCGAGTATGCATAGAGAAAAATAAAATTAATTAGTTCACTTGCCCATAGTATGTGACGGACAAAATTTTTTTCTTTTCCGCTGCACCACAAAAAAAAATGTTAGGGTTTTTTTTAACCCTGGGGCTACATTTGGGGACTATGGGCACCACAAGAAGACTTGAAATGGGTTAATTAGTCAGCTAATAAAGAAACATTCTAATTAACTTATTTAGGTTTTATTTTTGA